AAAAAAAAAAAAAAAAAGTACGTGATTCATTCCTCTCAGCAGCTGCTCAGGGTCTGTTTTCCCCCATCTAACAGGAAAAACCTCATAAGACCATATGTTGTGAAAGTAAATTTCTGACTTGTTTGGTAGATTCGTGTGGGTTTATCTGACCACTTAGGAGTTTTCAATTCCTCAGATTTATTTTTTAAACATTTTGTAACGCGCAAGTGATGTCCCTCTATGATTTTTTTTTTTTTTTTTTGAGTTGGAGTCTCACCCCATCGCCCAGACTGGAGTGCAGTGGCCGCTCCCGGCCACCGCAGCCTCGACCCGCTGGGCTCCGGCGATCCTTCCGTCTCAGCCTTCAGAGTAGCCGGAATTACAGGCACGCGCTACCATGCCCGACTGATTTTTTGGTTTATTGTAGAGATGAGGTCTCGCCAAGTTGCCCAAGTTGCTCAGGCAATCCACTCACCTCAGCATCCCAAGGCGCGGGATTACAGGCTGAGCCACCAAGGACGGCTCCTCTATGATTTTTTTAAGAATGCCCTTCTTAAATATTAATATTGATCCCCTCTACTTGCCCTTCTCTTAAAAAGGAGTATGGATCCCAGGTCGTTTGTGATAACCAGAACCACATCAGGAAAAACTTGGAAAACCGGTTATTCAGTCTCCATGGGTGGTGGAACCCCAGTGAATTTCCAGTGTAAGGAGGGAGATATTTCAGATAAAAAAACCTGATGCAGATAATTTTGTCTACCTGGCAAAAACACCATCAATCCTGCTTTACCAGCCTAGAGGAACTAATGAAGGGCAAAAATGAACTTTTTATTTGAATTTTCTATCTCATATCATGAGTGAAGATATAACCTGACTGCAATTCAACCTTCTTGAGACCTGGCATCTTGGAGAGACCCAGACTCTCCTTTGCTCTATGCCCTATCTCAACTCTCCTGGCAAGACAGATAGGGACCCACACTTGAAAACCTGCCAAGTTTTCGAAAACTATTATGCAACGTCATTTCCTTCCTCTGAGACTTAAAACACACACACACACACACACACACACACACACACACACACACACACACACATTAACCTCAGTCCGCTTCTTGCTAACTATAAATTTTTCATATTCCACCTTTAAGACAGCCTTTTTTCCGGTCACCCTTCAATTTCCTTGAACTTTTTTCATGGCTTCCTTGAAAAAATATCCTTTCAGATTTCCTATCTCCCTCCTTTCATCTCCTGTCATCAATCTTTCCTCGGTGTTCTATTTCTTTTGTTTTCTTTTTTTTTTAAATTGAGTCTCTGTTGCCCGGGGAGAGGCACGCTCTCGGCCACCACAGCCTTGACCTGCTGAGCTCAGGCAATCCTTCCACCTCAGCCTTCCAAGTAGCTGGAACTACAGACACACACCACCATGCCTAGCTACTTTTTAAAATTTATTGTAGAGATGAGGTCTCACCAAGTTGCCCAGGTTGGTCTCCAACCCGTGGGCTCAGGTAATTGTCTCACCTCAGCCTCCCAAAGTGTTGGAATTATAGGCGTGAGCCACTGTGCCTGGCCCAGTGTTCTATTTCTTTTCCCTCCATATTCTCTTCCTTGGCAGTCTAGCCTGTCGTCAAGCTTCAATGTCTATGTGTGGGACTCTTATCTGTTTTTCCTTTTGCCTTCCTTCTCCGGGGCTCAGAGATGAAATTTCATACTTCATGCTGGATAATGCCATCAAGGCAACAGATGCTTCCTGAGGGCCTACTATGTGCCAGATGTGGTGCTGGGAATATGAACATGAACCTGACGTGCTTCCTTTCCTAGAGGACCCTACAGTTCAGTGAGAAATAAATTTTCAAGAATTATGAGAGAGAGAAATGAATACAATGATTAATACTATGAACCAGACACTTTTCTAAGTAGTAGGTAAAATGAATTTATTTAATCCTCACAGCAGCACTAAGTGGCAATTACTATTATTATCCCCGTTTAGCAGATGATATGGTAAAATTGAAGCATATGTTCAACAAGATTAAACTTAAAATGCTGTCGACCACACCTACAGCCTTGGAAGGTATGAGCAATTCCATGTGAGACTTGACTGATGAGACAGTTCTGAAGGTCTAAACCAAGCTATTCCTTAGCATTTGTTAAAATGTCTAAACAATTTCAAAGATTAGTTCTTCACTACCAAGACAAAGTAGAGATCAGAGGCAAGTATCTAACTAATGGAGTTTTGAAAAGCCACAAGATTTGTCACTGTAGTGGAATGACTACAATAAATGTGTTTTGGCCAGGCGCGGTGGCTCAGCCTGTAATCTCGCGCCTTGGGAGGCTGAGGTGAATGGATTGCCTGAGTGGGTGACAGAGTGAAGACTCCAACTCAAAAAAAAAAAAAAAGAAAGATTACTTGGACAAAACGGGTATGATCTAATGTTAGTAAATGCTAATAGACTGAATGAGGACAACTGACAAGGGCTGTATATCTAGATTCTTCTTGGCATCTCTGAGCAGGTATTCCTTCCTTCTAGGTAAGGGACAAGATCTTTTCTGGAATGAGGGGGTCTTATGACCTACAGTCAGACAAGGTAGTCAGAAAATTTCCTTCCGGCCATTTTTTACACAGAAAAGCGGAAGGAAAGTTAGAGTATATTTTTAGGTTTTATGGCTTTGAGGAAAAAGGCATTCTGGGTTGTTTGGTTTGTTTTTAGTCGGAGTCTCACTATGTCGCCCACGGTGGAGTGCTGTGGCACGCTCATAGACACCACAGCCTCGGCCTGCTGGGCTCTAGTGATCCTTCCACCTCAACCTTCCAAGTAGCTGGAATCACAGGCATGCACCACCATGCCCAGCTTATTTTTTGATTTGTTGTAGAGACAAGGTCTCACCATGTTGCCCAGGCTGGTCTCGAACCCATAGGCTCAGACAGTCCTCTGGCCTCTACCTCCCAAAGTGCTGGGATTACAGGCATGAGCCACCATGACCAGCAGGCGTTCTGGTTTCCTTGGCCTACCTTGGGGAAGAGGGATTCTAGTTTCTAGGGCTAGTCTCAGGGGAGAATGGGACTAAGAGACAAGAGGGAGGGAGAAGATCAGAGAAAAGCTTTAGCTTCTGAGGCCTTAATTGTGGGACATTATTTTCTAAGCTCCCACACAGCAAAAGGTCAAATTTTGAATTAAAATTTTACTTCTGTTTGTCTGCATTCTTTGAGATGACAGTAGATCTAATTATGTCTAGCTAAATAACTTTTTAAATGTTTTCTTTCTATGTAAAAATGAAGCTAATTCTTAAATTGTCCTACCAAGACTCTGGCTTGAGCATTCCTTGAGAGAATTCTTCTGCCACAACATTCAGGACTCTTCACACCTTGGACCATTGTTCTTGAAATGCTGGTCAGCAGTTTCCATAGTAGTTCCTTTCACAGTTTCACTCTGAGTTCCTCAAAATAACACTTCTGCTTTCACTTTCAAAGTCAGTGAATGTTTAAGGAAAAGGTCCTTTGGCAAAAGATAAACTCTTCTTAATAGATTTTGAGTCTTCTTTTGAAGTTAAAGAAAGGTCAGCTTCCTTTAGCTCTGATAATGACTGCATGCCCAAGGAGATATGAATGAGCCTAAGGCATGTGACATTTAATGCAACTCTCATGATTCCTGGGACACGTGAGGCGGAGAGCTCTTAACTTCTGTGATTTAAGAATGCTATACAAAGAAGCTTCTTTTTTCTTTTTTTAAGTTGGAGTCTCACTCTGTCACCCAGACTGGAGTGCCGTGGCTGCTCCCGGCCACCACAGCCTCGACCTGCTGGGCTCCGGCGATCCTTCAGCCTCCCCTGCCGAGTAGCCGGAGCTACAGGCGTACGCTACCAAGCCTGGCTAATTTTTTGATTTATTGCAGAGATGGGGTCTTGCCAAGTTGCCCAGGTGGGTCTCAAACCCGCGGGCTCAGGCAATCCACTCACCTCAGCCTCCCAAAGCGCTGGGATTACAGGCTGAGCCACCGAGAGCCCGGCCACAAAGAAGTTTCTTAAAGAAACAAAACTGAGGCCGAGCTCGGTGGTTCAGCCTGTAATCCCTCGCTTGGGAAGGCTGAGGTGAGTGGACTGCCTGAGTCTGCGGGTTCGAGACCCGCCTGGGCAACTTGCCAGACCTCA